CTGTCTCTAAATTCCTTGGGCAGGCACTAGTCCCCCATGCCTTTATTTCTGTAACATTTATTTCAGCATTCCTGACTCCTGACCTCTGTTGCTAGAGCTCCTACTGTGTAGATAGGAGTGCTGTTGGCTTTGGGGGAACAGACACTGATAATTCTGTAGTACATTCTTATTTGATATAGCGTAAGTATGTTCTTAAGAATTCACATGTTTATCCAGAATCGTATTTAAAAAGCAGTTGTTCCTGTGAAGTGGGAAAAGGGATTAGTGGTTACCTGCAGGCATTTCAATGTATTAAAGATACAAGGAACAAAATCTGAGCAATACAGCCATTTATTTGGCTTTTACTTAAAAGTAATGGGTTTTTTTTTACCACTTTCACCAGCAGTATTATTAGCACATTACTTTGTGTTACTATGTTAATTACTCCTTATTTTGATAAAAAGTGTAACAGCACTGCTGCCAGCAACAGTTTTTCTTCCTGTGATGCCATCTCTTCAGGGCCATTAGCAGTCTGCGCAGTACGATTCAGGTTCCCTAATTAATTAATTACACTTCCAACTGGTCTTATAAAAATTCACCGTGGCAGAAATCTCTGTATGTGCGTGTATGTGTTATGAGTTGAGCAAACTTCGATGGAGTTAGTTTGGAGTGAATAATAAAATGGTTCCCATGGGAAACCAACATTCCTCCAAACAAACTTGCAGTATAACCAAACATTTCTTAATCTCTGAAACAGAGTAATACCTTACCTGTATCACGGGTTTGCTCTAAGAATTATTTGAGATAGTGAATATTATTTACTCTTTCATTGAACAAGCCTTTAATAAGTACCAATATGTACAAAACACTGCCAGGTGACGGGACGGTAAATCAGATGTTGCCCTTCCCTCAAGTAGCTTACGGTTTAGTAGAGTATGAAAGCCACGTTAAAAATGAAATTGATTGTAATGGCTGAAATACAGGATGGAGGTTGGGTGCAAATGCGAATAACCATAAAAGGCTTTGTGGAATAGTTGCTATTTGAGCTGCATCTTGAAAGATGATTAGGTGCACCTGATAGCCAAGTGTGGGAATGGTGGTGAGCAGAGCAAAGTAGGAGCAACGATAGAGCAGCCGAGTTCTGAAGCTGCAGGTGAAAGTGATTAGAGGATGAGGGTACCAGAGATGTTGCAGGATGGGATGAGGTATGTGTATAAATAAAATGGGGCTGGAAGGTGAGATGCATGGTCTTAGGAGCCTTTCTAAGGAGTCGTAATTTTATTCTATAGACAGTGGGAAGTCACTGGGGGCCTTGAGCTAAGAAATTACATGATCAGTTCTATATTTAAAAAAGATAACTGCTCCACATTCAGTGTCATTAGGGAAATGCAAATTAAAACAATGAGATACCATTACGTGCTTATTAGAATGGCAAACATCAAATGCTTGATGGTGAGGATGTAGAGCAACAGGAAATCTCATTCATTGCTGGTGGAAATGCAAAATGGTACAGCCACTTTGGAAGATACTTCAGCAGTTTCTTACAAAACTAAACATACTATTACCATAAGATCCTGCAGTTTTGCTCATTGGTATTTACCCCAAGGATTTGAAAACTTATGTCCACACAAAAGCCTACGCACAGATGCTTGCAGTGGCTTTATTTATAATTACCAAAACTTATACTCAACCAAGAACTGTCCTTCAGTAGGTGAATGGATAAATAAACTGTGGTACAGTCAAAACAGTGGAATATTATTCAGTGCTATAAAGAAATGAGCTGTACAAATCCATGAAAAAACATGCAGGAAACTTAAATGCATATTACTGAATGAAAGAAGCCAATCTGAAAAGGCAACATTCCAACTGTACGGCATTCTAGAAAAGGCAGAACTGTGGTGGCGGTAAAAAGGTTGGTAGATCAGTGGTTGCTACTGGGAGGAGAGGGGGGCGAATAGACAAAGCACAGAGGATTTTTAGGGTAGTGAAACTACTCTGTGTGGTATTATACTGGTGGGTACATGTTATTATACATTTGTGCAAATTAGTGAATGTACAACACCAATAATGAACACTAATGTGAACTATGAACTTTGAGTGATAATGATGTGTCAATGTAGGTTCATCAGTTGTAACAAATATACCATTGTGGTGTAGGATGTTGATAGTGGGAGAGGCTGTGCATATGTGGAGGCAGGGAGTATATGAGGACTCTGCTTTCTGCTCAGTTTTGCTGTGAACCTAAAACTGCTCTAAAATGTAGTCTATTTAAAAGGAAAAAAACCCCCATGCTTTAGACTAACTTGGATTCATTTCTCTCATTTTGTCTGAAATGGTGGTTTCACTGTAATGCATTCTAAAGGCAAATACAGAATAATTTTAGAACTTTGTGTGACCTCTCCTCTTGCTTAAACATAGATAATTGAGAGTAAAATAATTTTTTAACTATGTGATATGATACCCTAATCTAGTTTTTGTTAAACTTTCTTGTTCTAAAAAAGATAACTATTGCCATCCTAGAGAATGGATTGGAAGAGTGAAGGACAGGAGCCAGGGATTATAGCAAAGCTACCGAAATTGCTCAACAGAGAACTAGTGAAAGCCTGAACTAAGTCCTATTCAGTGTGGATGGACAGAGGGGCAGATGACAGAAATATTATGTTGTACTGTTAGGACTGATCACTTCTGGATACCTTGGGGATAGAGGAAAAATCTAAAATGGTTCCTAGATTTCTGGCTTGAGTGACTAGATTAGTGGTGATACTCTTTACCAAGATAGGACTGTAGGATAAGAAGGAAGTTTGTAGGAAAGATGATTGGTTTTGGATATGTGGGATTTCAGGTGTCTGTCTAGTATCCAAATTTCAGATGCCTATAGAAATCGTGTCTGTAGAATGGAGATGTAGGTTGTTAATCAAACTACAATTTAAAAAAAACTGCTCCTTTGAACATAATTGTTATGAAAATTGTAGTGACTTCATCTCATATCCTTTGGCAAAAAAAAAAAGTAAAAGTGTATCATCTGTTTTCTTCTTGATTCTTGCACTTCCCTAATGTTCAGCTTCTGTTTCCCAAGCCATACAGATATTTTCCTCCCACTCTGAGGCTTTACCTATTCTGAAATACAGTGAAGAATTTACCTACCTTTAGGGATTACTTCCCAACTTACCTTATGAGGCCAATGTTACACTGATGTCAAACCAGACAGACAGATAAAGAAAACTAGATCAGTAGCTCTATGGATTAAAAAAAAAACTTCAAAAAATATTAACAAACCAAATTTCACAACATATATAAAGGATTATAAACCATGTACAAATAGATTTATCCCAGTAATGCAAGATTGTTTCAACATACTAAAAAATCAGTCAGTATAATACACTGTATTAATAGAATTAGAGATAAAACCCACATTATCATCTCAATAGACAATGGAAAGAAAAACATGTGACAAAACTCAACACCATGATAAAAAAAAAAACCAGCTAAACAAAAAAGGAATAGATGGGAACATTCTTAATCTGATTAATATTGTCTATGAAAACCCCACAGCTAAAATCATACCTTATGGTGAAAGACTGAATGTTTTTCTCTACAATCAGGAAAAAGACAATAGTGTTTGCTTTTAACCACTTTTATTCAGCCTTGTGTTGGAGATTCTAGGCAGGGCAATTAGGTAAGAAAAGAAAATAAAGAGCATCTAGATTGGAGAAGAAGAAGTAAAAATTTGTATTTGCAGATGACATGATCTTATATGTCGAAAATCCTAAGGAAATGACTAAAAAATCTAAAACTAGTGAAGTTCAGCAAGGATTTAGTGTACAAGATCAATATATTAAAATCAATTGTATTTATAAACACTAGGAGTAAACAATCTTATAATGAAACTAAGAACAATTTATAGTAGCATCAGAAAGAACAAAATTCTTAGGAATTTTTTAAAATGCAAAACATGTAATCTGAAAATTATAAAACATTATTGAAAGCAATTAAAGAAATTATAACTAAAAAATATATCCCATGTTGATGGATTAGAAACATAATATTGTTAAGATGGTAATACTCTCCAAATTAAACTGCAGACTCACCACAGTCCTTATCAAAATCCCAAGTGGTGTTTTTTCAAAACAGACAAGCTGATCCTATGATCC